GAGAGAGAGAGAGAGAGAGAGAGAGAGAGAGAGAATATCTGTGTGTGGTGTGTTGGAAGGGGGCTTCTCTGTGCGAATATAAATGACACAGTGAACAAGAATGGAGCAGGGGTTCTCACTGGGGGTGATTTTGCCCCCAGGGGACATCTGGCAATGTCTAGAGACATTTTTGGTTCTTATACTGAGGGGAGGTGATACTGGCGTCTAGTGGGTAGCGCCCAGGGATGCTGCTAACATCCTACAGTGCACAGGATGTGGTCCCCCACAGAGAATTACCAATGTTGACAGTATCGAGGTCGGGGGGAGCCCTGATCTAGAGCAGTGTCCCAAAGTGGGGTCCTCAGATGAGCAGCATTAGCACCACCTGGGAACTTGTTGGAAATGCATGTTCTTGGCCCCACCCCAGACCTACTGAATCAAACACTCCGGGGGGTGGGCCCAGGAGACCTGTGTGTTTAATGCACCGTCCAGGTAATGCTAAAGCACACTCCAATTTGAGAACCATGGATCTAAGAATACACGTTGAATCTCTGGTTGGGGGAACGGTGACTTTTTTTTTTAATTGGGGGAAGGGGAACAGACAAGTTGCTGTCATTTTGTTCTTCAGTCTAGTTGTGGAGGATGGAACGGTGACTTTTATGTTTTCCTTTTCCTCTCTATTTTCTAAAATCTCTGTATTTAAGTAGGTATTACCTGTGCGATCAAACTATAATCTAAGGTCTTAATTAACCAGTGATGCTAAGGTTTCCTTGTCAGGGAAGAAAGAGAACACAGGTCCCAAGACCAGAATGTAAATCCTGGCTCAGTTTAACAAATAAGCCGTGTGACATTGAACGAGTGAAGCACTCGAGGCTTGGCTTCCTCACCTTGGAAATAGGCATGAGAATAGTCCCTCTTTCTCAAGTTTACTGAGGGGAAGAGATGACATATTCCAGACAAAAGCACCCAGAGCTCTCCTGGGTTTGGGGGAAGCGATCAGTAGGTTCCCTGCTCCTGAGGTGGTGTGAACAGTAGGTGGCTGGCGACAGGAAGGGTTCATGACGAGGAGGGGAGCTGCCACACCACCCACACGAGGACATGGCTGCTACATGGAGGCAGCTGGGTTTTGTTCTACTGTATTTCTGGTTCCCGAGTCTAGGGAGGAAGCCAGGCATTTCTGCTCTTGCTCTGGGAGGCCATTCTGATTGGGCCAGAGCTGAAGTTTTTCCCAAATAATCTCTTTTTGGAAAAACCCAAACACGAGGAGACTGTGCTGGGAGTCCTAGAGGGGCGGGGAGAGGAAGGCCAAGTTCTCCAGAGCCAGGGAAGGGCAGCACCCCCAGGTCCCACAGGAAGTGAGCTTCCAGGGTTTCTGACTCACTGAACCCAAGGAAGGGATGGCCATGCTGTCCAGAGAGAGGCTGCGCCCTGACCCCAAGGGGCCACAGAAACCACAGGACTCCAGGAGACCATAAGGCATGGCAAAGGGCATCTCCATGGTGACTGTGTAGACCAGAGATGGGTCCCCAAAACTGGGAGCTGCGCAAGGTCCCTGTGGCAGGGCTTGGAGAGGAGAACCCATTGATGGCTGGGACTTTTTTCCCTCCCTGTCCAGGGTCAGGCTTAACTGGGTGTAAATGATCCTGTCAGGGTTGACACCAATTTAAGATTGTGAAATACTGGTTCTTCCCTGTTACCACATGCACCTCATCTTCTGAGAGAGGAATCATTGTACCCATTTTACAGGTGACAAACTGAGACTCACAGAGGCAGGTACCTCACAGAGCAGGCCCCTGCCTGAGCATAACCCCCAGGCTGTTCCACCTCCAGCGTCAAGGAGAACACACCTGGGGTGACACTTCATACCCAGCTTCTCCCACACCACCCTTGGTGGCCCCTCACCCATCCAAGGCCTCCCATGGAGCTCCCGGAGCCTTCAGCCCTTCCCAAAAAGATGCCATTTGCAGAGAGGTAAGGACAAGTGAAAATGGCCCCAAAGCACCCCACCCACACGGCAAGGCCATACTCAGGGCTGTGCTTCCCCAGAAGAGGAGAACCAATAAGGTGGCAGATTTCTAGGTACCAAAAGATTTTTGTCTTCCATCTGTAATAGGGAGTGGGGGCTGGGAAGGTTGTGGAAGCAGGAAAACCAATCAGCAAGCCAGCACAGACAGTCCAAAGGAAGACAGCCCTCAGCAGGCCCAGGATCCCACATCCAGGGCGGAGACAACCCTGCCCTCATGTGAACCAGACCATATGGACAAGAACCTCCCTCAGCCCACACTGGACCCCTGCCTTCTAACCAGAGAGCTTGGACGGCACAGTCACGGTAGGAGATGACGTCCCCTCCCACGTCCACGAGAGCCCATTTTGCTCAGGCAACACCACTTACATGTTCACGTGTGTTCAGCCACTTTTTCTGGTGACATTTTGTTTAGGAGCATTTCATCCATGGACCCACTGAACTGGATGCTGTTGGATATCATTCTAGAACAAATGACATCTGCCCTGCACCAAGGAAATGTCATATTCAGGCCAGCCCCACCGGCTGGCAGTTACTGCGCCCACACTTACATGAACGTATGTGCAGGCCAGGTCTACAGCAGCCAGGTCTCAGTGTCCTCGTCCCCACCTGCTGCCACACTCTGGTGTCTATCCAAGTCTCAGTCAGAACGCTGGGGTATGACAGTAGTAGGCCCTTTATACATATCATGGGTCAACTGAAAAAGTCAAATGCACCAGTTAGAGGCGAATAGTAAAATGCCAGGTTATGCCCGTCACCAGACAGTCGCCCAGCAAAAGGGAACCTTGGCAACACAGACGGGTTGGGGCCAATTTTACAGGTAGACAGCAGGGGGCGCGTTGGGCGACCTTGAATAAGGGACCCAACATTGCTGGGCTTCCATTACTACATCTGTAAAACGCATAGAAGACAGCGTCCCCTTTGGGAGTTCTGGTAAGGGTTTCAGAGAGTAAGTGCCCGCAGCTCTAAGCCTGCCCTGTGTCGTGCCTGGCACAAAATAAGCATTCATTAGATGTTGGCTCCTGATGGCCCCAGGCGGATCTTGCACCTGGGCCCCCCCAGACTTCTGTGTCTGATCACCAGACACAGGGTCGTTGCCCATTTTCTTTCTGGAGGATTCAGGACTCCGGCTTGCCATCTCTCTGCCTCAGGGCCCTACAGGGCCTTCAATCTCGAATCCTCACAGGTGAAGTCCCAGACAGGCTCTGAGCAAAGGCATCCTGTCCCTCAGAGCTCCAGGGAAGACAATTTCCTGTGTAGCCCTTCCCCCAAAACTAGGCTCTTCTGAGCCTAGAGATTTGGGGTGAGGGGTGTGTCTTTGAGAGGAAGGGGAGGTCACATGACAGGAAGCCAGACCCGGCCCAGGAGGCAGCCACTCCTACAGTCTTTCTGAGCCCATTGTCTTCTCCCCTTAGGACCCATTTCAGTGTCTGCTCAAGCATCTGCCGGCTTAGAAGATGACAGCATCTGACTTTTATCAGGACAAAGAAAGAATGATCCCCAGAGGGCCTGATGATTACCTTGTGGTTTCCTTGGAAACCAAGTCCCCGGCTTACCTTCTTCAGGCTTCTTCTCTCTCTCCTGCCTTGATCTGGACCACGAATCCAAGAAAGGCCAGGTCACCGCTGTAAAAGGGGGGCCACCAATGAAGAGGAAAGAACTCCACAATTTCTCTGTCTTTCATGTAAGGTCCATTCTTCAGGGTCACTAGGAACCTGAGTTGCTGAGGGAAATAAATGTGGGAGGAATAATAGAATTAGAAAAGCACCATTTTGTAACTTCTAGTAAAAGAATTGATTCAGCCAATGATCACCAATTGTTAATACATTCAGAGGAAAAGTTGATGGGTATTCCAGTCAATAACAAGCCACCCCAAGCACAGAGGCTAACAAAAGCCATTTCATATGCTGTCCCACCGTCAGAGTCAACCAGGCTCGCTGGGTAGAGCTCACTTGGGGTCTCTCAGACAGTTGCGATCAGATGGAGGCTGGGGCTGGAGTCATCTAATCATCAGCGCCACCCTTCATTCTCATATCTGATGCCTCCGCTGAATGACGGGAACAGTGGGGATGGGATGGGGCATCTCTCTCTCATCTTGTGACCTCTCCACATGGCTGGCTAGCTTGGGCTTCCTCACAGCATGGCGGTCTCAGGATAGTCAGACCTCTTGCGTGGCAGCTGGATTCCCCCAGAATGAGAGTTCTGAAAGACTATGGGGAAAGCTACAGCCTTCTTATGACCTAGCCTCAGAAATCTGTGTCACTCTCGTCACATTCCAGGGAACATCAGATACAAGGGACGGGGACTACATGAGGGCATGAATAGTGGGCACATGGTTTGGTGGAGGAACATCTATGGAGGCTAGCTACCAAATGAGGAACCTTACCACGGAGGGGGCAGGCTGTCAGCATCAGAACCCACAAATCATTTTTAGAGTCACTAGAAGAGGGACAAGCTGACTGTGTGTGCCTCCTAATATGGTGCATTGGGAAGCCCCGACACCATCCATGGAGTATTCTTGTCAAAAGAAAAATTAAGCCTAATTCTAACTGCACCTCTAAGGCTAACGTGCATTTGCGGGAAGTACAGAGGTAAGAGGTAAGCAATACTGTGAGGAAGCAACCAGAGGAATCCAGAACATGGAATGAGCCTCAGGAGAAATGACAAGGTCTCTACAATAAGTCAATGGCATTAAATTAAAAAAAGAAGAGAGAGGGGGCCGGCCGAGAGGTGCGTTGGTTAGGAGTTGGCTTGGGACGCCAGCTCTGAGAAGCAGGGCCCCTGTTCAGATCCCACATGAGGGCCAGTGACGCTGCGCCCTCTACAGCTAAGATGGTGAACAACAGCTCAACCTGGAGCTGGGCTGCCGTGAGTCGCTGGCAACGGCATAGGTTGCAGTGAGGCTGGCCGGCAGGGGGTGTGAGCTTTCATGAGCTGCCTGTGAGCTGCCGTGAGCAGCTGTCCAATGGCCGGCGAGCGACTGCCTCACCCGGGAAGAGCGCAATGATAATAACCAACATGGGCCTGTGAAGCGACGTCCTCCACAACTAGACTGAAGAACAAAAAGGACAGCAACTTGTCTGTTCACCTCCTCCAATTCCCCAATAAAATCATTAAAAAAAAAGAGAGAGAAGGGAAGGGAAGGGACGGGTCCTACATTGGAAAGGCCTTAAGAGACCTGAAGACAAAACCCTGCACGCAGGCCTTTTCTGTATCCAACAAACCAACCCTGGTATAAAAAAAGACATTTTTGAGGCAAACAGAGAGATCTGATTATGGTCTGGGTGTTAGGTGATCCCAGCGGGTTATTATTTATTTTGTTAGGTGTGACCATGGCTTTACGGTTATATAAGAGTGTGTGAGTGAGTGAGTGAGTGTGTGTGTGTGTGTGTGTGTGTGTGTTTAGGGAATTACATAGAAGTGAAACCACATTATATTGAGACTTCATTTTAAATACTCCAACAGAAAGACAAATGAAAAGAGGTGGGGGAGAGGAATAGCTGAAGCAAATCTGGTAAAATTTTGCTCATTATCAAATCTAGGTGGGTGATGGACATATGGGCTTTATTGTACAATTCTTTCCACTTGTGTGTATGTGTTAGAAATAGTATAATAAAAAAAAAATTTAAGGGGCGCCGTTGGGAAGGAGGCTTTTATTCCCTACTGCTCCTGACAGCATGGCCTCACACTGGAATCATTTGTCACAGTAAACTCAGCTGCCCAGACCTCATCAAGAACAAATGCAGCCTTTCAAAGTCACCTTTCACAGAGCCGGAGGCCCAGTTTCTAAGCTGTCCTTCCGCCCCTCCTATTGTTAAGTGGGGGCTCTGCTCAGGAAGGTTTTAGCTCTCAGGATTGTCATCCCCAGCATTCTGTCCCCTTTGGGCGGGGCTACACGCAGCATCAAGGAAGGTTTGAAGCAGACAAAGGGAAGAAGTTCAACTACATGGCACGTACAAGCCCACATGTACAGCAGGTCCACCTCCCCCACCCCATCCTCCCCGCAACGAGAGAGAGAGAGAGAGAGAGAGAGAGAGAGAGAGAGAGAGAGAGAGAGAGAGAGAGCAAGAGAGCGCGCGGTGGTCTTTCCTTCTGGTCCACCCACTCCCACAAGCTGTCTCTTCCATAGACTTGGAACCTGCCTATCTTTGAAATTCCCTTTGGATTTCAAGGTCAAGTTCCTCAGATCAACATTTGGGGGCTTCAAGGCATGAGTATATGGCCCCCCATGGGGTCATATGGGCTGACTCAGACCTCCTGGGAAGGAAAGGAGTGCAGAGGGAAGATTGCTGGCCTGGGGGTCAGGAGCACCTCTGGGAGAGCCCCGCTTCTCTGAGCCTCATCACTAAGCCGGGAGCAGGCCTGATGCTGGGCCAAGACCCAGACCTCTGAGATACTGTGAACTGTAAAAGGGTGGGGAGTAAAATATTGAGCACCTGTTCTCCTGGCCAAGGTTGATGGCTCATTTGATGTGCAGCAAAGCACAGCAACTACAAGTCAGTTTGATTTCTCACAGGCAGGTCTGACTCTTATATCCACTTCCTTTCCAAGGAGAACCCAGGCCACACCAATGAATCCCCTGGGAGATGTCATCTGAACCCCGGGTCTCACCTGAGCACATGAGAGATGAAGCTTTACAAAGAAGGCACGTGGGTTCAGGTGCGACAGCACAGAGGGGACTAGTGGTGTATGTGTTCAGCCACAGGAATGCCACGTGCTCAGCCTGGGAAGCCCTTGGTCTCAGAAAAACTCTTCAGAACCACTATGTAATCAAAGAATTCAACCCAAATGAATATACTAAAATTAACCCAAGTTTTCTTCTGTCCCATAATTAACAAGGTTACAGAGTCTCTGGTATACCTGCCTACCTTCCAGCTGGATGATGACATGGGAACACACTTGTGCACACACACTCAGGCACACACAGAGGTCAATGGAAAGACATCAAGCCACCCAGAGAACGAGTTTTTGTAGGTCCCACCAGACAAACCAGGTGCCCTGCCCCATCCTCAGCTGACTAAGCCCACATTCTAAGGACCATCCCATGGATAGTGGGCATTTTCCTGTCCCTCTCATTAGGAAGGAAGGGAAGGCACATCCACAGACTGGTCAAGACTCAAATGACATTAAATACATTAAGTCACATAACCAGGTAGGCAATGTAGCCGGGGGGAAATTCAAAACAGCCAGAATATTCTATTATAGAAACATTTCTTTTCTAAAAAAATATTTTTTTCTAGCTGAAGTTCTTTCAACATGGCAAGATTATAGGGGGTTCTTCTTTTTTCTTGTCTATATTTTCATCCCTTTTTACAATACTCATGTAGAGCTGTTTCCATAGAGACTTCAGCACTGTTACCATTTGGGGCCAGATAATAGTTTGCTTCTGGGAGCTGTCCTGTGCATTGCAGGATGTTTAACAGCATCCCTGGTCTCTACCCACTAGTTGCCATTAACATCCCTCCAATTGTGACAACCAAAAATGTCTCCAGACAGGGCCGGCTGAGTGGCGCGATGGTTAAGAACTGGCTTGGGATGCCAGAGGGCCCCGGTTCAGATCCCACATATGAGGGCCAGTGACACTGCCCTC